TGTATGTTAGATATGTAATTGGACTGACTGAAGGCAACCAGTCTCTTCAATGTAAAGCACGATTTATCAGAGTATTTCCTCAACGAATAGAAATATTTCAGAAATAACAACTACATTTCTTTTATATCCTTGGCAGATGACTGTGCTATGCTTATGTGATGAGTACCTGCAACAGTTAATATGTTGAGCTCAAGATCAGAAATAAATCTCTGCATACCCAGAGTAAGTAGGGTAAACATGTTTGGAGGGCCTCATTAAACACTTTGACACAACAATTTTAAGTAGGCTCAAGTTCCTCATAGACGTCAGCATTTAAGTGATATCTGCCTCCCTCTTTCTCTCTTTTTAAAAGAAAGCAGCCTAACTATTTTTAACCTTTAACACATACGGGTGTATGCTTTTACCCTTTGTGGAATACAATATTGATTGCACCCTACATTTAGAACAACATAAACTAAGACATTAGAGGAGAGAATCATCATCACTTTGTTTACTACTCCTGCTCTTAAGGAACAGTATCTGAAATGCCACTTTCCTGGCAGTAAGAAAGAATTACACAATGTCGTCATGGGCATCATGAGTATGTGTAACAAGGACTAAACAGAAGTAGTCACTATGCCTCTTCTATTTGGAACTATGCCCACTAAAAATGCAATAAATCATTATCTATTTGTACACTGACAGCATCTTTTATATGCTTTAAACCATTAATAGACACTATCCAGAAAGAACAAAGTGACCATTTAAATTAAAGTAGTTATTGCCAAACACTACTGAAAGAATGGTCTGCTTACCTTTCAGAAATATCAACTTGCTGGAAAAATACAATTGCAAAAATATGCCTTAAAAGAGCTTTCATATGGTGCTGGTGAGAAACTCATTAAAGCCTTTCAGTACTTTATTTTCTAAATTCATGTCAACAGAAAAATAGAAAAATAATTGAGAAGGTGCAAGAATCTAAAAGCTCATTCAGATGTATAAGCACATCTATTTCCCAGGGAACAAAAAAAGAAAGCTGCCTTCACAAGGTCTACTAAACTTTACTGCTGTAATTAGTCTTCATGTCATGCAAGTTTTGGCTCTGACATAAATACTGAAATGTCAGATCAGCCAGTTCTGCACAGACAGAGCATCAGGTAACACACCATTAAAAAAGTCATACTAAGAAATAATCTGACCTTGTGTTCCAAAAACAAATCAAATAATGTTTTCTCTGGTGGGAGTTACTATAGGAATTCTGCACTTTAAGTAGGACAACTGGCAGAACTTTTTAGTCTCTGTTCTAAATAATTTCTGGAGTTGTTTATGCAATCTCAGCTTTTAGAAAAATGACAAGAATAGCGGCAGTCAGCAGCAAACTCCTCAAAGCCTACAGAATAACTCTTCCTACACTCCAAGCCAGGTCATTCTAGGCCTTTTTCACACCAGACATGAAGGTTTTTGCTCTGTGCATCAATTCCACCATGCCCTCCCCCAGACAGCAGAGCCACCAGTTCTGTCTTGTGCTTTGTCCCTCCAAATCAAGTTTATGCAAGTCAAGGAATCCCAATACATGAGTAACCATCTAGGAATCAATGTGTATCGGTAGCAGCAATGCATACCAGACCCAATGGTTAGTCATTATCCCAGCAGAAGGCACCTCCTGCGCAGTATGTGAAGGAGAGCTTAAAATTATTACTATTACTCTATTACAGGTATCTTATAAATGGATGTGTGACTCAAATAACAAAAAACTTAGAAGAAAAAAAAGATGTTAAACACATCTTTTAGTATGCATACTTTGCTTAATTTGTCCTCCTATAACTTAAACCAATACTGACAAGATCCGGTAGTACAATCATTAACATGATGCTGCAATTTAGAGGTGAGAGCCTTGGATTTTTGTGGGGTGTTATCTTTAAGTTTCAAGAGTTTAAGAAAAAGGAAAAAAAAAAAAAGAGGGCTGCTGCCTGCTTAAGCCGCATAACCACTATTAAGCTTTCCATCTAATGTGCAAAGACACACAGAAAGAATAAATTTTACACTCTGTATTCAGACCTTCCACAGAGCTGTGAAACAATAGCTGTACCTGACTTCTGCCCAAACAGGAATCTTAGTATTCAACTCAGTGAAAATTCCTTTATTATTGACAACTGCAGAAAGTCAGAACCTGAAGTCCGTAGCTTACCAATTTCTCAGTTAATGCCTTTCCTTAGGCAAGGTATATTCTGCAAAGGATAACATGAATTCTTCTCTGTTTTATTTCACTTCTTTAAAGTGCATAGACATAACTTAAGAGAACTATATTTTTATTTTATATCAACAAACTTCTTTTCAATTTGCTTTTTGAAGCAGAAATTGAGGTTTGCACAACTCCCTCTCACTCCCTGTCAAGGACTTCATGAAAAACTCTGCTAGTCAGGCCAGCATCACAGTAACTGAAAGGAACCAGCAATTCAGAAGAAGGATTTTGACTTAACCTGAAAACTTGGCAAAAAAGAAGAGGGCAAAAGAGACTGCATCCAAGCTGTTGAGTGTTATGCCCTAACTCTAAAGCACAATGTTTGTCTCTTATTTCTGTACCGCGTATTTTAGTTGGTAACATGCTCCCGAGACATAGGCGTTGCTGCTGTGCCCCACTCTCCTGCGCCCCTCGCCCCGCAACACACCTGGCATCAGAGTGCAGCTCACTGCCAAGGAAAAGGAAAGCACCGCTCCTCCTCCGTTCTTTACAGAGCTGGCGAGCGAGGACTCAGAGAGCAGAGCAGCCCCTCCCAGAGAGCGCCAGAAGGATGGAAATCCAGAAGGAAATAGCATTCTGCAGACATCCAGTAGCAAGACAGGGGATGAACAGAAGAAGGTGTTTAAGAGGTCTCGGAAAAGCAGCAAGGACTGCTGCCCAAGGCTACATGCAGTCTCGTATACCGCAGTTACACAGTTTTCAACTACTCTGCCACTAGCTCGTTTCCATAACGCACCAAGACAGGCGACACAACAGACTGTTCTTGCTCTCACTTAAAAGACTCCTACAAATTAGTACTAATGACTCCTTAGTACAAATGTGCATCTTCTGCAGAGCACGCTGTCATATGCTATACAGATGCAGCAGGTTTTAGCAGTTTTAGCAAACACATCAGTGCCATAAAACAAAAAACTGCATTGCAGTTTTACATGTTGTTAAAAAAGTTGAAACATTTTATCTGTTCTAAGAATAAAGAAACAATAACATTTTAACCAAGATCAAAGGATATGCTGGTGGGTGTTTGTAACTGACTTCTCCCATTCCATATACGTGCTATTTACCATGAAGTTTGTTTCACTATCACATATAGTAAGCTGGCAGAGGTAAATACCAGATGTTTGCGTACTTGATAATCACAAAACTGACCTACTTCAGAAGGGGTATCACATCTTCTTACCATATACTCCTTTGTCCAGGAGAAGTAAAAATTCATCCACTGCATTTCGCATCTCAGACTCAGTAAGATCCAGCAAAGAAACAACTTTGAAATCCAGCTGTCTTAGCAAATTGGTCAATTCATAGACATCTACCATCGGAGCCTTGAGCTGGGGGTGATTCCAGTAGCTCATATTTCCTATTAACAGAGCTACCTTGTCTGTTGCTGCAAATACAAAGGAAAAACAAAACCACAGCACGTTTGTATGGTTCCATATGAACCACATGGCTTCAATACCTTTAAACTTAATTTCTCCTAAAGTGAAAATAGTATCCAATCTCACTTCAGGCACAATATTTCATACGATTTAAAAAGTCATTCTACATCAGCAATACGGCTTAACTCTCTTCTCATCCAAAAACCAGAAAAACATTTCAGCATGGTCTGACAGTCAACATATCTGAACTGTGATGCATCTCAGACTGGATAATCTCTCAAGCAGCAAGTCACTAAGGCTATCTCCCATTTCTTTCATTTTCTGAAAGCACAGACTATTACCGAATTTCCCCATGCAAGAAGCAATTTAATAAATGTGAAAATTGATATGGCAAGTTGCCAAAGCTATGGCCAGTATGCTTTCCCCCCAAAACCAAAATTTTCTTATGCTTCTTAAAAAACAAAAAAACCACCACACACAAAAGACCACTTTCACACCTCCATCTCCCACATCCTTTCTCTCTAAAACACAGTACATTTAGGTGGAAACTTTTACAAGTCAGAAGTAAAAAGTCTGTTTTCTGTTTGTTTATGTTTCTTTTTACTGTTGCTCTGCTCAGAAACAATTATACAGAGAAATGAGAAATCTACAAAATTCGGAGGGAAGTCTACTGATATAGTTTGAGATACATTCACTTTGATTTTAATAAAGTCAGAAGAAATTGTCATAAGTAAACAAAGCAGCAATGAAAGGGGAAAAAAGCCACATTGACAGAAATGCTTTAGAGACCACTAGCCTGATTTTTATCAAAAAAATTGCACACTAAGTTACAGAAAGGCCCTTATTCAAAGCAAGGCACTTTCTCCCTGGTTTGTTACTTCTCCTCTCCAACAGGAATTATCGTCCCCCAGCTCTGGTGGCAAATGAGATCACGTGAATGCCCCAACCCTCTCCCGTCACACACAGCTAGTTGCAGAGGCGAATCTGTCCACACCCTCAACGTCTAACATCTCACCTCCTTACAACAAGATGTTTTCAACATTTTTGCAGCTGGAAAACCTCCAAGGTCTTGAACAGTGTAAACTATTTTAAACAGCAGAGACTAAGTGACAGTGGCATACCGTCATTGAAAAACACTTTTGAAAGTACAAGCTTTCTAATTATTTTAGAAAAGGTGAACCAGGGCTGGGGAGCACTTACATTCCCTCTCACACCGATGAGCCTGAAAGAGTGGTAAAATTTTGACAGAGGCCAGCAGCCTTTCCCCCTGGTTTAGCATTAACAAGACAACATGCCTGGCCACAGTCAAGTCTACCATACACATTTAAGAATGCGATTAAAAAACCCCAGCAACTATTCTTCATAACACACATATGCTACCCATCTATCTTTATGAGCTTCAGCTCAGGATCAAAGCATCCACACACTGTGCACAGGAAGAGCTGAGCTTGCAGGGACACCATACCCTTAGCAGACAGACTAGCGATCCTTTTCATCGCATAATCCTCACACCACTATCTCCAGCTGTTGAAGTATTCAAAGGAATAGAGTAACACACTGGCTAAGGTCGTGGCCAGAGGAATTTGAAACAGTAAACTGAAAGAGATGACAAGTTGTAGACGCTCCACCGAGTCACTAAAAATACTGGTGCCCTCATCACAGTTTACTACTGAAAGGGCATGCGAGCATTATAAAGGACTAAAAACACACAGAAGTCTCCCTCCCTGCAGCTATTTACACGCACTACCGTTATTTCACTAGCAGTGGCAGAAGCAGCGATATTCAGGAGCAGCAAAATCTATTTCCTAGATATGAAATACATACATTCATTACAGCTACAAAAGTACTTACCAACAGGTCTGTGATTTGATTTTTCTTGTAGGTCTGCTTGAAACAGATTAAAAGAGCAGAGAGTCAGTAACTACAGTCATAGTTGCCGATGTCAGAAAATGAACCTCATGTTCCATACAGCCATAGTCTATTGGTACTGCTTTGCCTAATAAGTTACTAGTTTAAGGCAAAAAAAGTACGTTGTTTTGTTTTGGTGGAGTTTTGGGGTGTTGCGTTGTTTACCTGCCCAATAGGATATGAATAGCTAGTTCTATAAATTAAGAAATAAGAGATGCTTACAGTATAATTTTGAATCTCACGAACTACACATCAGCATTTTCAGTAACACCCAAAACAGTTCATCCTCTCCAAATGAAACGCAGACATGCAAGATGGGGGATGCTTAGCAGGGATGACTACCTGTATGTGAAAATTCATTTATTTTGTACTTCACAGAGGGATGGCAGGGCCAGTGCTCTGCCAAGAAGAACAGGTAAAGAGATATGCCAAAGCGGTACACTTTGAGTAACATGTTATGTATCCTGACAGTACCACTTCAGCGACTAAAACTAAGTCCTGTCAAAAGTAAACATATCTTTGATGTCTAACCCAGGAAATTATATGACCTTTGTGATTTGAGATTTTGGGAAGACTGCATCAGGGATAATCCCTTACGGAGTACCATTCCAGATCTATGTTTCTATAATAAACATCAAACAGGCTTCAAATCGCATTAGCTCACCCCAACATGAATTTAAGAAATATACCAATTCAACATATCATGGGTGACAGCCAGACACCCTACATCTTTTTCACCTTAATCATCTGACAAAGCAGCAACATACTAAAATTTAGAGTCCAAAGAAGCCACAGACAAGGAAGCAAAAGATAATTCCTTCTCTATTTGTATAAGTATACATGCAGTATAAAAGAGCAGCTGCGTGATTTTACAAAGATAATAGCAACCCTATGATTCACTATATTCTTCAAGTTAATTTATTGGAACCAGAAAGCTGTGCTGCTCTTAACATGATATCTGCCCCTATTAAATCCCCAGTTACAAATACATCCAAATAATGTAAACTATATACTGTAACCCAGCTAGGCTTCAGTGATTTGTAACATAAAATGAAGATGCAAAATTAAAAGTTTTTCAAAACTTATCACTTACCTGGTTTTTGAAGGTCACTTAGATCTTCTGTGAAGAAATACACCAATAAAATTATAGTTTAAACAAGAAGCAAAAAATACATTTTTATTAAGAAAAATACAATTGCCATGCCATTATTAATAGAAGCTGCACGTTAGAAAACAAACTACCTTTCTAAAAGGCATTTCTGTAAATCTAACCTTTCATATGTTTATTCCACATGCAGAGAAGAGAAAATCCTACATCAATATACTAAGCTATGCTAGACACAGCATTATAATATAGTAGATCTCAAAACAAAGGGAGAAGCACATACTATGCCTCAATCCCACAGGCATGCAAGCAGCTTGAAAGAATAAGAAGCAAGATGCCACAATTGCCCATTTGAAAAATAGATGTTTGAAGGACTGCTGAAAAAGCAACATACTGAGCAAGAAATCTTACTTTGTAAAGCCATATGTATTCAGAAAGACTTCAGATACAATTTTCAAACATTCTAAGCTACCACAGGTTTCACCTAATTATTCTGAGAGCACTGGAAACTACGAAAAAGAAAAATAGTTTATCTGAAGCACCAGAGCTCTCTTAGAGCAGGCCGGCTCCACGCAGGAGCCCTAGGCAGACCTCTTAAGCTGCAAAAGCAGGCTCAAATATCCACGTGGGAGACTGTAGTGACCTGAGGTGACACTGCTGTAGGGGTTAACGTAGCTTAGCAGCAGAATGACGATGCATCCAAGCAAACTGGAGTTTGGGTGCAGAACCCCACAGATAATACAGTGGTTACCTTCTGCTTCAAAGGGTAGCTGAATGACAGGTAACTAGGAGGCTTCTGCATAGCACTCCATCAGGTAGTGCAGACACCTCCAAGCCAGAAAAGATGTGAAGGCTTAAAAAGAAGATCGGTCTCGGAAGCTATGCCATGGGAGTGGCTGACACAGGAACGTGTGTCACTTGTATGTTCCAGTGAGTGACAGTACACAATCCCCCCACAATGCTAAACCTTTAACAAAAGGGCTAAAGGGGGACATCAGCTCTGATTAAACTTTGAACAAGAAATGCTGCAGAACAGCTTAATTCCAAGAAAACTATGATTTTGCGATGCTCAGCATTCAAGGGATGGTATCAGCATTAAAAGTCACAATACGCTGCTTCCTCCCCATTGCAGCAATGCAAAGGAGGACAGAAATCATCCTAATAAGGTTGCTGGTAACACCTCTTGCAGGCACAGAGCTGACAGCGGAACTAGCTCTATCCAGCTTTCTAACGCCACCCAGGTTCCTAAACATCTTCAGCTTTTCTTGCAAGGATGTTGCTTCCTGAGTCCAGCCAAAGAAATCTCAAGATCTTTACATTTCACTAGAAACTGTAAGTGCAGGACACAAAAACAGTGCAAAAATCAAACAACTTGGAAAACTACAGAAGAAGAAAGTAGCTTGGTTTTTCTCCTGTGTGCTCTAGATCATGGTAACAAGGCAAAGAAGAGGGAAGCACATGCAGAAGGAATGTTGCATCACACATCAGTGTTTTAAAGTAGCCTGAAGTTCTTAACCCACATGCTCAACAGTCTATTGTCCCTGTCATTAATTTTTTAAAATTGATTCACAACTAAAGATTTACTTTACCTTCTCCGCACTCCACTGCCATAGCTTTCCTTCCTTGTGTTTTAAGGGGGGGAAAAAAATTGGAAGACAATTGCTCTCAGTTATGAGAGTTAGCACACAAAGTGGAAGACAAAGGTCACTTCCAAGCTTCTCTGCAATCTGGCTCATTTTATAGCAGTATAAATCAGCACTGACCACAACACTGTATAGTAATTACTACCAAAACTCAGGAGTACTAAACTAGAATATTTCTTAGGATAGGAAAGAACTTTTCACATGAATTATGCAATAGCATTCCCGCATAGATCCGAAAGCTATACAAACAGATCTCCTCTTTAGTTGACTGCAAATAAATGCACACACACTAAACCGTGTTATATTCATTTATTCTGCTTGCTATGAATAATCTCACCTGTCCTGATCGCTGAAGGACTCAGTGTAACACAGTTCATACCACCAACAAGGGTTAAACTGTTGTTTAGTTGACAAAAAACATGAAGAAATCAGCTTGCAATCTGCTGACAAGCCACGTACATGCTAGCAATGCCAAAAAGTGGTAGCATTTCTATGCTGGTTACCATAAAAACCCAAAGCACTTTAACTGATAAAGCTCTAAAATTCCATTTGCTGCAAGCAAGCGCAGCTATTTTAACAAATGGATAAACTAAAAATACAGAAGGCATGTGCTTGGCTTAATACTGAAAGCTTCAAAATTAAATTCTAATGATAGGGAAAATATTGAAAAATCAGCTTACCTATATCAAACAGAAAAACTCCTTACCTATAACGACTTCTATCTTCTTGCTGTCTTGATCTTCCCGGTCATTGAATACGTGACACCAATATGTCCCTTGATGTTCCACATCCACGTAAGTTACCTATGCAAGCATCATCACAGTCATCCCGCCAGACCCTGTATCAGTTTCATTTAAGCTCACGTGCAAGAAAGAGTAAAAAATGAGAGCAAAGCCTAAACAAATCCAGAAGCTGCCAATACCCTCATTCTTCAGTAAGCTGGACGTGTGAGCTCTAGAAATGCTTTCAAGAACTGAAGAAAGAATACAAATCCACCTCACAGGCTTGAGATGCATTAAGCACTGAATCCAACAGCTCATACAAATCGGAGTGCTTTGCGGTGCAAGATAGAAAGAGAGGCTTTCACTTTTATTGATACTTAATCTTTGTTACGTCAGTATGTCACACGAATCCAAAATACACTATAGCCTTACATCCCATGACTACCTCCTGAAACATGTTCGGGATTAAAATTATGTACCCAAGAGCCTCAGAACAGTATGGGCAAGTAACAGAACAGGAGAACAACTTATAGCGAGCCCTTCCATAAGAGGTTATCACGGCTACGAAGTTATTTTCTTCAAGGAAGCTTTATGTGATAAGTTAAAGGTGGTTACACATTAGTCCCCCAAGGCTGGGACTTTGCAGTAACTTACCATGTAGATATTTTTGCTCCCATTTGCCAAGGGAAATCCATTTCTGAACCACTGGTAATGAGGAATTGGGTTTCCAACAGCTCCACATTCTAGTACCAAAGCATCGCCCACTGTCAGGTTTTGTGACTGAGGCTGAATGCAAATGCGCAACTTGTTTTCAGGCAAACCAATTAAGCTCCCTTAAAAAAAAGGAAAAAGAAAAGAAAATAACGGGTGAGACAATCTAACTGCATATAGACTAACAAGAATTGATGACGTACGGCCACATCTTCCTGTAACTACAACAGACTGTTTTAATAGCAATGAAAGTAAGTTACTTGCCCTTTAAGAGTATGCTAAAAATGAGTAGCGATGGCTTTCCAGTTCTTCAGTTGAAAAGTAAAAAGGAATGCACATTAAATACACCCCAGAAGTAAAAAAAGAGCAAAGCCCTCTTTGCACTGATTTGCATTATCCTCCTGCCTGTAGGATTACACAGGCTCCAGAGAAAGGCACAAGTACAAAGAGTGGCTACTGAAGGATGGACTGAGGATCCAACTTGTGTGCAAGTGTGGACACAGGAATAAGAATTTAAAACTTAAAATCAGTTAGTTTTAGCATATCCCTATTCTTCTCATTCTAAACTGAGCATCAAACCTTATGATAAATACACTAAAAAAGCCCAAAGCTAAATACGCTTAACAAACACCAGCCACTGACATGTCCCCATATAGAAATGTCTTTGGGAAAGAAACCTATTCAGAAAACCCTAAATGCATTAAAGACTTCTCCAGCTGATGTAAGTTTCTATATATGATAACATTTACTGAAACAAAGCGTTGAAATTAATTTTTAAAACATCCACTACACACACATGAGTGCTCCACTGACAAAGTTTCTGATCTCTGCATACTGAAGAGTTCAATTTACTGGCACATACTACAGCAAGCCCAGACCTACTGGTAAAGCTCACACCAGTGATGTTTTATCTCAGCTGCAGGGTCACTCAGCTTTACTTTTAGACTACATATGTAGACACATTTCATCATCAGAACTATTCATGACTGACAATTAGGGAGTGATGACATTTCCCTTTGCACAGTAAAATAAAGGGAGACAGTGATACGGATATCTCTATTCTGCTAGTGTCTGAGCTTCTTGGTGCATTATAAACTTGAATTTCAATGATTTTACAAACAGATGTTTCATATTTATGATCAATGTTGACTAGCGTTTTTTAAAAGAAAGCTGTATTTCCTAATGCAGACTTAATACCGGTAAAAAGACTGACAGATGCCTGGGCAAATATTCTGTTCTATGCCCACTGCTGTATGGCATCTCACATACAGAAACCCAGGCTTATCATGTTCTCTGTCAACTTCTATAATGGTGTTGGGGTTTTTTTCTTACAAAGAGCTTTTTCTTCTGTAACTTTTATCATAGACAAGACTTCTATATGTCAAAAAAACTTTACTCCCTTTCACTCAGTTTTCTACACAACCTTCTCTCTCTCTCTCCCTCCCTCCTCTGAATGTCCCAGTTTGATAGCAGGATCTTTCAACAAAATGTAAAGAATTAGTTTCCCTTTAGGGCAGAAAGTTCAGAAGTAAGATAAGGTGGAAAGGAACTGCTGTTGTAGACAAATTAAACAGCATTAGTGTTTAAGACAAGGAACACAAGAATTACAGGTAATGAAAGAGATCATGAGATTGAAAGATAACATGGTTTCTGTCTCCGGTGTGACCCCTTACCTGCCATCTCATATACAGGCTGTCCTTGGTACAGCCTGTTGTTGTATCACTCACAAAATACACTAACAAGCCTGTAGCAGTATCTTTCAGCATTGCGTCTGGCTGCCTCACTGATCACAAGCTCACAAGACAGCTATGAAATACAGCTTTTAGAGAATGGAGAATGGTCAAGCTCTCATCAAACAGAAAGCCATGAAAAGAGAGGAAGGAAAAAAATATCTGAAAAAAGAAAGCAACCAAGGGAGCAGGAAAAGTAAAAGAAAAAAACCAGACAGTCAGCAGCTGAAATAGAGATTTCATACCTAGTCAACGTTTGCAGAAACGGTACTGTCAGTGTCATCTAGTTCAACCAAAACATCAGTAATCCCAGGCCAAATGTTACAGGAGATGGAGAGCATTCATTCAGTGCAAGCACTACCTACCCCTTCCAGGCTTCTTTGTAAGCACCCTAAGAGGGAAAGTTACAGAAAGAAGCAATCCATCCTGCCCCTTATCCTTTTACCCATCACCAAGACCTAAACATGCTGAAATTCATTTCCACTATGGTTCCTGGTTGGCCAAGAGTCATGGAACATAAAGCAAGGCACTAATCTGTGGATATCTGCTGCCCTTCAGTCATCAAAACTTTTGCCACAAGTGTGAAACAATATACTGCTCAGATTTTTTTTTAAAGTAGTCATGACAAGCTTATTCATCTCAACTTTCTGGTGTAATCAGCAAGATCTAAAACTGCAGGTTTCTAACTGAATAGCACCTGAAGTAGGAGCAAAGGAAAAGCAGAAGAAATCATCGCTTAGATAAGGGACCGAGAATATGTTTGAGATTAAGATGTAAAAAGGTCACCTCAAATGACATTGCAATAGCTTTTGATCTTTTACTGGAAGATCAATTCTCACTATCTCTTCCTGACATGAATAATTTTTATATGTGGGATGCAAGTGGAAAACACCTTTGACTCGTGACATGAAACAAAGTAAGTACTCTTTGCAGTCTGAAGACAGTGCAGTTGATTTCTATCTCACTCATCTTTAGGCCAACAGCCAGCAAGTGGAGGCTATTTAATTAGAAAGTTTATAAAGGGTGGACTTAGTGCATGAGTCAATGCCTGTTTAATGCAACTAACTATTCTGTAAAAAACAAACAAACCAACCAACCTACACACACCAGAAAACAAAAAGATGCCACTCCAGCAACCTCAGAAACTGGAAATAAATGCACAGTATTCATATACTAGATCCAATAAGTAAATTTCCAAGATTTTCTTTACGTTCTACTAACAAATTCCAGTACTAGCCAGATACTGCCAAGTAGACAGCTATTTAATCTTATTTGCTTTCTGCTATTATTCCATTCTCCTCACACTTCTTCCACTTCCATACTTTCATCACATATGCTGCAGATGGAGATTAACCTGTCACTGAAGCAGAGGTGTCCTCAAGCCAGTGCCATAAATTCATAAGGACTTACATTGGTACAGTTGAATTACTATGGCTTTTATTATGCAGGTAACACACATTTGACTGTTAGCTGACCATTTATAAAACCCATGAAGATGCAATTCACACGAAAAAGACTCAGTATAACTCATGTGTTTCTTCCCCTCATAGGTTTACTTCAGAAAATTGTTGGCATGTCTTCACTACTACCTGGGTTGGTTATTTGAAGTTGAAAAGATTGCATTAGCAAACATATATTCTGCAACAGATATATCTATGGAGCCCCAGACTCTCTCTTTTGCCCAGGTGTTCTGGCAAAGAAAGAATGTGCCGGGCTTTGACTAATTTACCTTTCCTGATTGGTACACGTCTAAGATTGTGATAGCCTTATTACGATCCGAAAAAGTGACTGTAAGGAAGATCTATCACTTTGTTACCTGCCAAACCTTATTCCAGACCTCAGTCCTGTTTCCTCAGAGTGCAGCTAACCCTCCTTCCATTCCACAGTATCTAGGTTTTCTAAAGTGCCCAGGCCTCCAGCAAGCATGCGCTTCTGTAGTGTACTGTTCTGACCTTCTAGGTAAGGTAGGACTTCTTTCTAGGAAGGCAGAGAACCTCATTACATTCTCCTTTACCCAAATACCTTTCTTCTCAGACTGGCAGCACACAGATGAAGAGGAAACAAACAGTCCTGACTATTAGGCCAGAGCCCATGGGGCAGACATTCAAAACAGACTGTGCGAGTCCAGTCACTAGCGAGTTACAACAAGAGGTAAGCAGGTAAACAACAAGAGTTAAAGAATTGCTCTTCTGGTCCAAGAATTCTCTAAGAATTAAAAGGATCTGAGACTATGTACGTTTTCCATCTATCTATTCTTATCCACCACTGTGGAACTTCATTTCTCTTCTGTTTTTGTGACCAGCATAAGAGCCCAATAATTGGATACTGCATTTTGAATCAGCCCTCTTTCACAGCTGTGCAAGACAGCAATGGGGACCCAAGTGCCTCTAACAAGTGGGAAGACAGACTTTCACAAGACAATGTTTTTGCCACTCACCATGAGATGTACCCTGGAGATCACAAACTTCAAGTCGTGCCCACCGACTGAACACAAAGGAAGATTCACTGTTCACTCGACAGATGTAGAAGCCAGAATCGTTTACATTCACTGGATTCAAAACCAGCTCTGGAGAATTGCCATGGGGAACCTGAATTACAAGTGAACCAAGAAATATTTAAATTCAGATTGATTTAGTCTAAGCCAGGATCTAACATTAGAATATTTATTTCAATATCCGTAACACCAGTCTCAACTTCTACATTTACTTGAAACTTTTGGATGAGAAAGTCTTGTCCTACGTATTTAGTAGCTCAGAGACAGGCTTTCTTCCAAGAATAATTCATATGCCTCCATTTAAGACAATTCTGAGCTTTTTAAGTCATTCACTCTTCCTGAAATTAATATTTTTTACCTTTCTCCACAAATAACTCTGAATAATTTCTTCAGCAGTACTCCAACCAGCATGTGTGTTATATTCAGCTCTAGTCTTAAGATATATTCAGCTATGACCAGGAAACTGTAACTTTCTTTCACAGAAAAATAATTTTTTACTACATCTATATTTTAACTGTAATGAGCAGGAAATTACTGTAATCATATTTTTAAGCCATATTTTGGATGATCTAGATAAACTTTTAGAAAAGCGTGGAAAATGAGTTAAAAATTTCAGTCCTAACAGCAATTTAAAATATGATAAACTTACTGCATTTCTAAAAATAGTACTTACAATAAAATAACATTAAGAAAAAAAGTGCATCTTGTAGAAAGATACTAGGACCAGAAATATGGGCATAAGTGCTGCCATTCAAATTCCAGAGACACCAGCTCACATGCATTCCAGTATTTTACTGAAGAATTCTGTGGCACCGCCGAGCTCAGGCCTTCAACTGTTCATTCTTACTAAACCAGTTTCCATCTGTCCAAGACCAACAGTGACTGGATTTGTTCCAGTGTGGAAGTTTCTCAGTAGCCTGTGTTAAACTTCTTGGTAGGCCGAGAGACAACTAAACTTCGTTTCCTTACTGTCACATTCCAACATTAGCCTCCAAGGACGAAGTGGTCTGAATATAAGGAACCACCTTGCTGTTTTAGCACGCTGATAGGGTCATTATGCAGCATTTCTTAAACTTCTATTTTTATTAGTATATATAGCAATCTTCTCTCCTTGTAAATAAGAGTAATGGTCTTAAAAAAAAAAACAAACCCACAGTATCATCCAAAATCATTACCTATTATTTTCACCATTTAAAAACCCTATATTCGGTATCAACTATTACCTCTTTTTCCTGTTTGAACCACTGGTAATGCACAAATGGGTGTCCTGTTGCCCAACAACATAGCTTGACGACCTGACCAGAGAGCACTGCTTGAGAGTCTGGCTGTACAACAATCTTTATACCTTTAAAAAAGAGTTTACACGTAGGAAAGTTATTAAGAAATAAAATTCCACAATTTAAATTTGCATTTAAATTGTCCTTTGAGCAAAGAAAGTTTCTGCCATTAAATATACTTGAAAATAATTTGTTTGTACTGTATATACACCGGTTCCAATTAGTTCTATGACTTTAAGATACTCAAAATTGTCTTCCATTATACAAAATCCATGCTTAAATTGATCTCTACAGAGTTTATCAAAGATTTGAAGTGGATCATTCAGACATTTTAATTTTAGGACACTTCAATCCCTTTCGCTCTCTACTCAATAAAGCAAATAATACTTCCAATAACATCACAGATCCCTTCCGGGAAATGTATTCCCAGTTTTAAGACTTTGCTCACTCCCAACAACTTCTTGGAATTGTTAATCTTCAGATTAAGATTAAGCACAGCCTGAGGGACGGATCAAGACAGTAAGAGTTAGGTTAACTACAACATAGTGCATTTTCTAATATTCCTCATGCAACCTGATCGGTTGAAACACTGGTTTCAGCTTTATGCCTTTGACTCCTGTAGAACACAGGGCTGGGATTTTCTTTTGCCAGTCTGCAAGGTAAAATTTTCCACTTCAAATTTTAACTGCCAGGAAATAGCATGAGTGAAATTCTGACACCGGTCTATGATCCAGTTGTTTTCTTAACCTAGACCATTCCAGAGATCTAGTTACCGCATGACCCCAAACACAGATCCACTGGTATAACCAAGGTCATCAGAAGAAAAGGAGGGGGTGGAAAAAAGTCAACTACAGAACAGGAAGTTTAACCTCACATTGCTGTCAAAGAATACATGGACCTATGACCAAGATGTTCAGCAACACTGAGCTGGTAAGCCATCAAAAATCATTAGTTTAAAGCATTATTTGCTATGGATGGTAAAACACATTTAACAACCCCAGCGGGCCACAAGCAATACTACACATTAATGACTAGTTGCTACAACACTAGCGTTGTGGGTTAACCCCGGTGGGCAGTTAAGCACCACACAGTCCCCCACCCCCAGTGGGATGGGGAAAGAGGGAAAGGAAGAATAAAACCAAGAGAATTTGGAGATCAAAATGAAACAAACAAACAAAAAATAACAGCAATTGTTTAATAAGTGAAGGATGAGTGGAAGAATACGGAAGAAAACAAAACAAGTGACGCAAGGGCAACCACTCACCACCTCCCATGGACAGACCGATGCCCAGCCAGTTCCCAAGCAAAAGGTGGCTAGGCCCTCCAAAAGTCCCTCTTTCCCCTTTTATTGCCAAGCATGACGTCATATGGTACGGAATACCTCTTTGGCTAGTTCGGGTCATCTGCCCAATTGCGTCCCCTCCCAGCCTATTGCACACCCCCAACCTATTCACTGGGGGCGCAGAGTGAGAAACAGAGAAGGCTTTGACGCTGTGCAAACATGGTTCAGCAAAAGCTAGAACACCAATGTGTTACCAGTACTGATTTGGTCAAAAATCTGAAACGCAGCACCATATGAGCTGCTATGAAGAAAATTAACTCTATGCTAGCTAGGCCCCGTACAACTAGTTACAGAAAAAGCACAGAAATAGTGAACGGTACAGAGGCACTTCATTACCATTTCATTACTCTCAGAAATGAATAATCGGATACAAAGTAAGTATACATACCAAAAATTTCTTTTTTTTTAAGAGTCAGTCTAATTTCCCTGTTTTGGGAGAAAGTAGTTCCTTGTTTACAGTTGCAGCTGGAAAGTGTAGTCTGGTACAGAAGCAGTATTCCAGATTGCTGGGGGAATAATCTTACAGAATAGTACAGAGTAAACCAGAAGCTGTGTAAAAAAAATAGCTGCAGAGAGATTGCAGATATCCTGGTACGAGACTCAAGATTATAATTTGCTCCAAGCCTTCTTATTACACTCTGCGAGGAGTTTTCTTTTTGTCTGCTTTTTTCCCCCTGATGTGTTTAATGGCTTAGTTGCACATCAGAACTTTTTCCTAACAGAGAATGTTTTGAGGAAAGAAACCATAACAATTTGATCAACTGGCTGAAACCTTAGCAAAATCCCATGTGGTCAACAGACCGAAACAGAGATTAGATGACATTTGGAAACCACATAATCTTTGTCTAGCAGGGAAGCGAGCTATATTAAGTTCCTCCACACGCAATCCTATTCTGAAATAGTTGATCGCGCAGGCAGTCAAAGCAGCAACAGGACTTGAAAATTACCTGCCTTTCTTTCTCTAAAATAACTTCCCTCTATACCCTAGCCCTGAAGATCGCTACCTCATTTCCTCATTTAACACTTCCTCCGCTGTTTTTCATAGTTAAAGGGAGTGTGTTAAGTACAGTTTTTGAGCATCACAATCACCTAACATTAACCAACACAAATGGGAATTATATTGTTTCAATTTAAAGGACAGAAAAATTAAGAAGACTTGCTCTTTCCAAAGAATTCCACTTTTTTTTTTTAAAAAAATCTCTCCTGACTTGCATCACTAACATCTCTTTAGCAAGTACTTGAGAAAAAGAAATTCTCTGAACGATTAGTATTTTGCACTCCTTGGAAGTATTACAAACAAGTTCTAAGAAATCTGATTCATAATTTCTTCAGTTTCATTTATTTTCCTGCAATTCATTCAGCAACATGCAGCTACTTCCTGCAAGCACTGCAGAATTTAATGGGTCAAAAAGAAAACCTTTTGGCTCAGTTTTCTGAATGATTACTAAGATACACTAACAATACTTTGATTTTCCTTGGAAAATGCAAAGCTCAAGTTTTACCACTGAGGATTGCAAACTGACATTTATGGTTACCAGACTTCAAAACACGCAGTGCAAATTAAGTACTCGTAATCTTAACTATAAGCCAACTGTTATGTTCTTAACTTACACATTGGTAAGCTTTTTTGGTCATTTCTGGAAACTCAGCCTCAGTTACGTTCAGATTGAAGTGCCTAAACTGCTGTAGTAAGAGACCTGCCTGCAGAGGAAAACCACCTCTTTGCTCGTTTCAATCCCCACAACTCAGTGAGGCTGCACAAGGACTAAACTGCAATACCACAAACTGCATATTAGACCTTTTTTCCTTCTTAGCCTGCAAGAAAGCTCTTTGCATTTCATTCATTTCCAGCAAGTTCGCAACCTGACAAGATAAAAAAAGGGAAGAAAAAGGACAGAGAGGTGACACAAGGAACAATATGCCTAAGGCTTTCTCACTACCAAAAAGGAGAAGTTTTAAGGTTATTATGACTACTCTTTTGTGTCTTTATAGGAAGAAGATCTTCTATGGACTTAATGCAATGTGACAGGCAAGCCTCTAAGCTCTGAGAGACAAACAAGCTCTGGAATTTGGTTCTGGGAGCCTATGATTCTCCGAGAGATCCCTCGTATTGCTGCAAACAAAGTGAGGTCCCAGCTTGTAACAATGCATCTCTGCCATAAAGGTACTGAGGCAAAGGTGCTTTGGCATCACTGCCCAAACAGACCACTAAGCAGCATCAACACTGTACATAGGCTCACAAAGGTTTGTGTCTTTTTAACTACATCAACACGGCTGGTAGAAAACAGTCCAACAAACCAGTATGACAGCTACAAAGGTCTTATATTAAACAATGCCATTCCTAAAGGAATCTGAGCAACACTTAAGCTCTTTTTGGTATATTAGAACAGATGGGCAGTTATGAATTCGCACTTTGACTTCAAGCATCAAACACCCTGTAACCTTTAAATCAACTCATCACAAATATCAAGGCCTACCACTTATTTTTAAATAGTTTAAAATTCTTTTTGATGTAAACTTTCTTCAGATACCCTTTGCTTTGATTTATCTTGGTTCCAGTTTCTCAGTCTCTAAGAAGCTACCCAGTCCTCCTTAGAGGAGGCTGAATCCATTCTATCACAGACCATACTGTTCTGCAAGAGATTAATTTGTAACAAGACCATCTCTGCAGTTCCAAGGGGTCTTGACAAAAGTCTACTTATTGGCTGCTTCTCCTCAATACAAGGATATCTTAGCTATCTATCCACTTCCCTAATTGATAACACTACCTCACAATTCTGCTATGTAGCAAGTTCCTGCTTTACCCAGGATTTAGTCTTCATTACATATTTCAAAATGTAAATTGACTGACAGCCACACAAAAATCCCTAATTCAACGGTGGTGATACTGGAGATGATCACAGATCAATCAAGCACAACATTTTGGCTCCGTGCAGGCATTCGGCAGTACAAATGTGAACCAGGACCACTCTGCCAGTAACCACCGTATGGAGAACAATAAAAAGGAACAAGCAGGACAGCATGCTACCACCTATGCCTCCACCTCAACTCTTGCCCCTATGAGGGCAATCCAGTCACACTGACGTAACACCAGTTACCTTCTCCCTGCCAAGCCTACAGTGATATCCTTCAGCTAGACTAAGCTATCACGTAACTCAGTCACACCTCACTCAACACACCATGGTCCTCCTAGTACAGGAAGAAGCAGTAGCCTTAACTAGATGAAACAGCTGCAAAGCATTACTATAATTTACTTGAAAAATTCCAAGGTTGTCTTAACAATGGTTCTCAGCCCATGGCTTCTTTTCTCACACTGTCCAAAGAACAGGACAGCTATCAGTATGGCAAAGAGCTTGCTACTCTCATTTCCACTCCCTGCTCTGAAGAGAAGCTTTTGCAACTTCCTAGTAGGCTGAATTTTGCCACATCCTGAAAGAGAAGGACATAAAAAGGGCCCTGGTTTGTACTACAGCAAGAAGCACTTGGTCTAGATGGTCTTACCTGTGTATCCCCTTGCATTGCCCCACTTCCCAGACTTTCTGTGAAGAAGCAAGCTGAATGTGTTAGCAGAAAATAATCTAGTTCTATTCGAAGTCAGTCTGTTTTTCCATCCAATTAGCAAGTTGGACTGGATCCAATACGCACTAGAACTGGCACTAATCGGACCCTTCCCCTTCAATTAGGGTAAACTATGAAATGCAGTTAACAAAACCTACAGCCCCGACAGATGGCTGGCAACACTACTTGTCTTTCTAACTCAACCATTTTAGTTCTATAAGCATCTCCCAAAGGCATAGTTTGATACAGAACCCAAGTCAGCAGAGGGAATGACAGCACCCGCCATATCCATGCAGCCAAGTCCAAGTCTATAACAATACTGCATTAAGCCTGCTTACCTACTTGGCTTACTTTTAATCCCGGAATCATATGATTACCAATTAGTATGGTAATCATATGAATACCAACTACTAGAATTCAAACACTAAACATGTTTTTACTTACTGCAGGAAACAAATACTTCAGCGTTTCCAGTGTAAGCCATACAGTTGCAATGAAAGCACAACCAGAACTGACCTGAATGGCTGAGACACTGAAGAGCCTCTGTATGCTCCAGGGCCTGCAAGAACTCCACAAGCTCCACCACAGTGCAACCCCGATCTCCCAGTAGTTTCAGGAGACTCCAGCTGGGACTTCCTTCTGGCTCCAGCACTTTGAGGGAACACTGCTCTAAATCCAGCGGGCTACAAAATAATACGAGAAAGTCATGGCGTAGACCTTCTTACTACTTTTTCCTCAGAAAGAAGCAGAGTTAAAAATCACTTGCAGACAAGCAAAAAGATTAAAATAAAAACAGACATGGGAAATTCCTAGCTGATTTGGACATATTTGCAGTATCTCCTTCAAGTTTCAGGAGTACAGAGGCTATACAGTGACACCTCCGCAGACAGAAAGCGGTATTAGCGAGTTGCGTGCTACAAAACAAGAGATGCTTGTACCTCACAATTCTCACCAAATGTATTAAGAAAACTTCTAATTTTCACTTTTTAAAGTGTCAGCAGAAAAACAAGTACAGCACCCTTCATTTTCATGTGCCTAGTTCAGAAGCGGTAAAAAGTGAGTCAGAATCTAAGTTGAAAGTCCAGGAAGACTTTGATTTTTCAGAGTAGTTGTTGAAACAAGTGACTGCTGCAGCTTAACTGATACACATATCTACTGCTACAGTGCAGTTAACTGCTCCAATAAATTAATCTCCATGTATAAACATGAACAGTTTTAAATTCTGGCGTTAAGCCTTCATGCAGATTAAAATAGCAGATTAAATCATAGCAGATTAAAATAACACAGATAATAAGGAAATGAATACAGCTACGGAAACGGAATGCAAGTTTATATAGAAACATAGAATCGTTTAGGTTGGAAAAGACCTTTAAGATCATCCAGTCCAACCATTAACCTACACTGCCAAGCCCACACTAAGCCAATCCAGGGTAGACCAGACTGAACCATGTCCCCAAGTGCCACCTCTGCCCGTTTTTTGAACACTTCCAGGGATGGGGACTCCCCCACCTCTCTGGGCAGCCTGGTCCAATGCTTGACCACCCTTTCCGTGAAGCAATTTTTCCTAATTTCCAACCTAAACCTCCCCTGGTGCAGCCTAAGCCCATATTTTCCCACTAAAAAGATTCATCAGTGTTTCTTTCATTAAATCACAGTGGCATGCAATGCTGGAGGGGAGATATTTTCACTCGTCAAACAGACCTTCACAGTATTTTACTGGATAATACACACAAACAAAGGCCCTACGAAGGGGTCACACTGTAGTCCTCAGGTTCTATTTCCCTATATTAACAAATATAGTCATAATAGACAAAGGACGCATCTTCACAACGTACATTCAGTGCCGCGCTTGAAATGCCTCATTTTTTTGAGATACCACCCTCTAACACAAAGTCTTGAAAAACCACAGGAAGTAAAACGATCAGGAAGCAATCTACGTGACCTGGGAAGAAGGAGTTGAAGAAAATGGATGCGTTTGCCCTGATACAGGCAAGAGGAGCTGCAGGGAGCAGCCGACACCCGCTGCCCACGCTCCCCGTCCCGGGCACGCCGCTGGCTGCATTCGCGCCCAGGCAGGCCGGGCGAGGTACGAGGGGATGCCAAGGCGGCCGAGCAAGCACCC